CCAAACACACCTCCCAGGTCCAGTGCTTCCAGTCCAGTGTGCCAACTCCAAATCCTTTCTTATCCAAAGTGTTTCCTCAGTTTCCCTTTCCAAGACATTTTTACTAACTTTCCTCTGGGTTACATTTCTGCATAATGGTTTTCTTTACCACAGCTGGTTGGACTCCTTCTTTACCCATATGACCTGTGAGGTTTAGGGGATCTTGCTTCCCTAAGTGGTGGTTGTTATCCCAAAGGAGAGCCCTCTCAGGTAAAGGGGGTATGGGCTAATCATTTACTGCCTTTACTAAATGGGCCTAGTGTTGCTGAGGGAAAGAGCATGCTAAGCTATGAGAGAGGAGGCTCTTGGGCTAACACCTGGAGTCCATTTTGACTAGGTTTTCCTGGAGTCCATTTGTAAGTTTAATTTTATCTGTCCTTATAGGTGATATCCTAACATGCTAAAATGCTGTTTTCCATAAAACATACATTTTTTTGCAATATGTGATCACATTGCAGTCACAAAGTTTTAGGATAAAAATGCCAAACAAAACTAATAATAGGTCTGGCTCTAGTGTCTCAGACCTGAAATCCCAGCTACTCCCCAGGCTGAGATCTGAGGATTGTTGTCCAAATTTAGCATTGGCAGAGACTATTCCATGAAACTCCTATCTTGAATAAGAGTTCCACCAAAACGGTGGAAATGGAACTGTGATTCAAACGGTAGAGTGTTAGCCTTGAGCAAAAACAGCTCAAGGACCACACCTAGGACCTGAGTTCAATCCCTACGCCCAGCACACACACACACACACACACACACACACACACACACACATACACACACGAGAAAATATTTAAAAGATAATTTGTTTAACAAATAAATACTAACATCATTTTCTATAAGTCTCTCTGCAAACATTCCAGAGTGCAAAGTACAGATGACCAAAACAACTTAGAACAGAGATGGTTACCATTTAGAAGAAAAGTTAACCAGTGACAGTCTAGATGTGAGTATACACAAAAAAATTGGGGACAATGATTATGATTGAAAGCATTATGTCATCAAGCATTTTTATTATCCTAAGAGATATTCACTTTTCAGTGTAAATATTAACATGACTTATATGCATATCTTGTCAATAATATTTAAATCCACATTTAATGTTGTCTTTTAATGCTAGATAATGAAAAAGTAATTGAATTAATAAACAGACAAGCTAATGGACAATTCTCTAAGGAAGAAATACAAATGGCTAAAAGATAGATGAAGAAATGTTCCAATGTCCTTAGCCAAAGGGCAGATGCAAATCAAAACCACACTGAGATTCTATCTCATCCAAGTCATAAGGGCATCCATCAAGAAAACAAACAACAAGAAATACTAGCCAGGATGCATAGAAAAAGTAAACCTCCAACACTGTGGGTGGGTATGTAAACTAGTGCAACCACTATGGAAATTCCTCAAAAAAAAAAAACTAAAAGTAGACCTTCCTTATGACCCCATAATGCCATTACTGAGTGCGTATATGTGTATGGGTGTGTGTGTGCACGCACGTGTCTGAAGACATATAAATCAATACACAACAAAGATGCCTGCATGGGTATGTTTATTTCAGCACTATTCACAATAATCAAAGGCTGAATACCCCTCAAGTGCTCAGTAATGGATGAAGGGATAACTTGATAGTCAAAGGCCATTTTGATATTTGTAACATTTTTTATGGACCATAAAAATGATCAATATAGGCAGAAAGGTTCTGAACAGTTGGTGAGAGCCAACTAGAAGTATATGCTTCTTATTTCTCTGTATGATTTCTTTGGGGCTAGAACTTGGTATCCGAAACTTTCACTTTTTGGCTAGAGCTCTACCAGCTGAGCCATGCTTCCAACCCCAAGTATATGTTTCTGAATAATGATGTGCCAAATTATTTCATGGGCCTAATATCGCACAGAGGATGATGGTTAACCACCTCCAGTTTAAATACAGAAAATTAGGTCTCAGTTTTACAATCATGTATTCAATTTTGATCTTAGAAAATTCTTTCAGATAGAGACCCGGAAACACAACAAATCAAAGAAAGGTTGGACAAATGGGAT